AGTCAGTAATCGTAGAATGTAACTAAATTTAAGCACGTGTTTGATAACCATATAATATACTTTGTTTGGTAAAATATTTTTTATCTAAGGTCATAGGTCAAGGTCGTGTCGCCAAGATGGAGGACAAGGCCAGGATGCCATTCACTGAAGCAACCATCTTGGAGGTCTTTCGCATGTCTACTGTTGGTCAGTGACTTATTTGCACTTTTTACATATTTCAAATTTAAATTGCCAGTAAAAAATCTTTATTTAACAAAAATAGCGATACATCAGTGTCTGGTTAATTAAATACCGTCTTGGATTGGGACGACATGTACATGTAAGTAATAAATTGGAAAAACAAGGAAAATTAAAAGAAGAAAAGAATTTGTTCGATTTCTGGTCCTGTTTCCTGGGTGGAAATACACGTACTTCTCGTCTGAACAAACTTATGGAGAAGAGTATAAAAAGGGTGTTACGGCAACGAATAGAAGCATGCATAATTTATTTACGGGTAGTTCGGTCGAATTAGTCTATTGCAGAACAGAACCGATTTTACCTTTGGTGTCACTGATAAGTTGCTTTCTAATCTGATCTTCCCGCGACAAAGCGTCCCACCCTACACGCTGTAAAATATTACCCAACCTCTCGTGAATTCTCGCAAGTTGTCGAGTCTTGTATGACGTCACGCCGTTGTATCCATTCAAATAAATCCTTTCAAGAACGAAAAAATCTTTCATTCCATGTCATCAGTTCCCATGGGTGGTCCCCATGCCACCAGTGAAGCTACAACTTTGGCCGGATACACCATTCCCAAGGGCACCATAATACTGGGAGATTTGTACCGGGTTCTTCACGATAAGAAAAACTTCGAGGATCCTTACAACTTCAAACCAGAAAGATGGCTTGATGGCGATGGTAAAGTGATCAAGTCGGACAAAATGATACCATTTTCCATAGGTACGTTACTAAATATTCGTCCTTCATGTTACCATGCAGTGGCACATTAGTGAAATCATTACTTATCTATGTCTATATAAACAACTAAACCTTGTCTCTGTAAAGAAAATCAAAATTGCTTAAGTGCAATCCAATAAAAATTAACCAAGACCTACTTTATCTTCATAATATAGATAAATTTATTTATGTAATTAAGTGTACATTTTCTCATTGTGGTCGGTTATTTGTATTTCAGGGCCTCGTATTTGCCTGGGTAAGGGTCTGGCTGAAATGGAATCATTCATTTTCTTAACCTCGTTGCTTCAGAATTTCACCTTCAAGGTACCGAAGGGGGAGAACCAGCCCAGTGGAGTGGAGGGTGTAAACACTATCACTTTCACCCCGCACGATTACAATGTGTGCGCAGTTAGGCGCTAGAATTAAATGAAATACGGTATTCACTTGTTCATATTAATAATAATATGTAATACTACATTCTAGCTTTGTATAAGTAACTATAGTATGTAAATAGACGTAATGAATTCGTATAAATGGTGTTAGAGCCCTTTTTGTGTCACTTGGGTCATGTGTGGGTCACACTTTATAAAAACTTTGGCGCGTAATTTGGGAGAGATGCATCAGAGATCGGACGTGAAGGAAATACTGTATTCTATGTAGTAAGATCAGTTGGAATAAAGACTTTAATGACAATACATTTGTTGTCGTGCCACGGTTGCACATATACACACGGATTGAAACGATAAACTGATTCCTAGTTTATACAGGATTTTCCCCCACATCTCACTTACTATATACAACATTGGTCAAAAAGATTGTCTCACACCCAGTTCCATGGGATTTTATTTACAAATGATCACCTCACAGGTGTACATTGTTATAAACAGTGCTTTTTATTCCAGATACCAAATTTAACGTGATGGTTTTGAGGGGGTACATGTTATATAGTTTAATAAATGGTATAAAACGTGGATATTTTCACCGCTATTTTGTATTTTCTTAACCATCAATCACGGATGCTTAAGAGTCCTGTGTCCACATAAAATATAATTGTGGTAGAGATGACACATGGCTGCTTGACAACGTTGTCAAGATTCTGTTTCAATAATCGAATATTTTGTCATAAAATGTACCTCCACCTTTCCTTCCCCTAATTAAAAACTTAAGATAAGCAATGGGGGTGGTTGTATCAAATACTATGCACCTGAAATTGACTAATTTCTGTACATATATTGAAACTGAAGTAAATAAATTGCATGGATATGGTTTTTAAGAATGGAGCAGTCAACTAAACAGAGTGAATATTATCATACGCATCGAAGTTTCTCATGCACTTAAAGATGCATACAAAGTCAATTTTTTGTCACAAAAACCAACCAAATGCCAGCATATAGTTTCAAGTAGTATAACTAAGAGAATTACCAAAAGGCATTGTTTAATTTTACCCGAAAATGATGTTTGAACGGATTTTTCTGCTGGCATTCTAAGCTGTATGTCAATGGGGCAGGAAAGTAGGTCACGAAAGTAGGTTAAATTTACAACCAAAAATTTTAAGAAAGGAGCAGTCTAAAAGACTTTTATGGCTGATCGAGTGATCTATTCAGTTTATCCCTTGGCATGTCGAATTTATTTGAGTCATATAAGAATCTAGTAGAAGTGGTTTACATGTGTTACTGGGAATC